TGTACTTCTTGACTGTCAACATACCACTGACTACTGCACTGTAATAATAAGCTTGTGCTATATTTTCTCATAGTGTTAGGTAAAATAGATACTAATTGATCAATCAACAGTAAAAACGAGTCATATGTATTGGGGGAGGGGGGTAAATTATCAAGGTTTGGGCCTACTAGAGTCTTGCGTACACTCCAGTTAATGAACAAGTATTGATGTACATCCAGCCAGGGAAATAGAAATTAAATGGGGAGTTTGAACAAGAGGCTTAGTTAATTAACGCCGGGGGAGGGAGGGGGGGGGGCTTAAAGAAAACTTTTTCGACTCGTGAATCAGTGCTTTATAATAATTCAATGCAATATCATTTATAATTTTCTTCAATTGATTTCAGGATGCGGCAGCATATCATCAATTTCACATAAACGAACTAGAAAATAAATATTTTGGTGACAGTTCCAAGAAACGCAAGACATGTACACACAAAACACATTGCATAGTTCCAAGATGCACCTCATATGGGACATCAATTGTTAAAGACAAGATCGTAACATTTGTAAAGGTTCCAGAGAATGATAAAAGAAAGTGGTTAATTGCTATCCATCGAATGGAAGATAAATCATTTCAGTTGAAGCCTTCTTGTAAAGTTTGTTCTTTACATTTCACTGATGATGATTTTGAATATCATGGTTTTAGTAAGAAACGTTCTCTGAAAAAAGATGCTGTACCTCATGTTTTTGATTGTTGGGTAGATGTTCCACATATGAATACGACTAACTGTAGTAACCAGAGAAAAAGACCCTTAAATCGTATGAAACAAAACAAGGACAATAATCGCAACATTGGTATAATTTACGATTAGATACCTGAGCCATTTGGTCTTCTTACCCCAACTCCAACCCCGACTTTAGGAAATAAGGTTCAATGTGAAAATTGTATTTCAAAGACTTTGAGTGAAGCAAGCAAATCTTTAGAAATATTGGTATTGACTGACGAAATAAGCAAGTTGAGAAATGAGATTGACAATCTAAAACTAGAAAAGGCAAAATTGATGAAATCTGAGAATATTGATATTGATGAAAGTAAAACCGCGTGTGATAGGTTACGTGAAGAAAATGAGGCACTGCGTGCTAAGGAATTTACATTCAATAATTTAAAGGAACAACATGTTGCATTCTATACCGGCTTTCCAAATAAGGCTATATACGGAACCGTACTTAAATTCTTAAATCCAGGTAAAGATGGTGAAAACATTGCGGATCGTAATTCTGAGAAAAAAATGCACGACAAGAAGAAAAAATCTGGAAGACCACATAAGCTTTGTGTTGAGGATGAATTTTTACTTTACCTCTGTAGAGTCAGGGTTGGAATGTTTGAGCTGGACTTGGCAGTAAAGTTCGGTATATCGAAGTCCACAGTTTCCCGAATTTTTCTCAAGTGGGCGAATTTCCTTTATGTAACACTAGGATCAATGAATATCTGGCCTGATAGAAATGATGTTAACTTAACGATGCCAGGGTCTTTCAAGGAGAAATATCCTAATACGCGGATTATTCTAGATGCATTTGAAATTAAGTGTCAGGTGCCAAAATCGCTAACTTTAAAATCCCAAACGTACTCCAACTACAAAGGTACCAATACGCTTAAAGGTCTCATCGGAATCGCTCCTCAGGGTAGCCCTACGTTCGTGAGTTCACTATACCATGGTAGCATATCTGACAGAGAATTGACCGAGCGTTCTGGCTTTTTAAGACTGCCGTTCAATAAGAACGATGATGTTATGGTGGACAAGGGTTTCTTGATAAAAGATTTGCTCGATCCACTTGGCGTGAACTTAAATATTCCCCCTTTCCTTGGCCAGAACGATCAAATGGATGCCAATGATGTGTATCAAACACAGCAGATTGCCGCAGAAAGAATACATGTGGAACGTAGTATCAATAAAGTGAAAAATAACCACATCTTTGATCGGGCAATCCCGATCAATCTTTTCGGATCTATCAATCAAATCTGGGCTAACAGTGCGTTACTTTCCCTTTTTCAGCCACCTATTATTTCACAAGACAATGTTACTTTTATGTCTGCCGAGGAATTTGATAATGGTTACATAAGTGATGATTAATTTCATTGAACAATGTTAAAGTTGTTTTATTGAGACAAGGTTTCTAGCTGTTTTTCCTACGATCGTTTATTTGAATGAGATTTACCTCTTAAAAAGCCCATGGACGTTCTTTTTAAATATAGAACTGCTGAGAGAATATTCACGATATTTATGGACGTAATACCTTCAAGGGAGAAGTTCTATCTGGTAATTGCATTTGCAATTTTAAAAATACAAGCTATGATGTATGACTATTCGTTACTTCAAATTGCATCTAAAATGAATTAATAGTCCACGACCCATCATGAGTTTGGAAATTGTTTATTAGGTTTGTGCAAGCATGAGAAAAATATCATTAGCCTCTGTTACATTACAAACTGTTCTTCATATGTTATATTTTTATTAGAAACATCATGCATTTGAATATTTATGTTAAATGAATATTCCTATAATATGCACAGTCTTGTCTGAAAAATTGTTTGTCTTTGGTACGGTAATTGGATTCAATTTATTAGAAGACCAGCACTCATATCACAAATTATTCCTATGGTTTCATTTACCGGGTAGTGTATTTAAGACACAACCGAAGACCAAAAATTCAGAAAAATAAATTTTAATAAGTTTTGATATCATTTTAGATGAGATTTATTTTACTCATTGGGCGATCTAATAGTAAATGAAGTTTTCGCGCGAAAAGTGCCCTGCTTTGACGTCATCGATTTTCACCGACCAATCAGCGCAGCGGTCAAATGAGTACACTTTGGACTTTGGGGAAAGGTGAATAGTAACCAAATGTGTATTAAAGGTAAATGGACTTCTGATGCCAGTTTATGCTGAATCACTATGACTTTAATTAATGGTATAAATGGTCAATTCAAATTCATCAAGTGCTTTGGAGATAATTTGTCATAAAGATTTTAGATCATGTGTAAAGGGAAAAAGCTTTTCATCTATTGACTTGACTAATAGGCCATCTATCAAGATAAAATCATACAAATATCACAAAAGGCTAAATGCTTTCCTTCAGTTGAATGACTCATACGCCATCTATCAAGATTATATCATACAAATATCACATAAGGGTAAAAGCTTTACTTCTGCTGAATTGACTCATACGCCATCTATGAAGATTAAATCATATGAATAGCACATAAGGTTAAAAGCTTGTATTCTGCTGAATTGACTCATATGCCATCTATGAAGATTAAATCATATGAATAGCACATAAGGGTAAATGCTTACATTCTGTTCAATTGACTCATGGCATCTATGAAGATTAGATCACATGAATAGCACATAAGGGTAAAAGCTTGTATTCTGCTGAATTGACTCATATGTCATCTCTTTGCAGGTTAGAAGGTTTGCAACTTAATGCCCTAAAGTGAAACAATGAAATAATGTGATGTTAAAGAAAAATTTCAGTGAATTTAGTGATCTTTATCAAAATGATGGGTTGATAACAATTAGTAAATTAAGGAATATAGTCCAAACCGTGACCTCATACTGTATTATCTTTTTTTCAGCTGACTTATTCTTGGGTTGTGACTGCACAATTGGAATTCTTGCTGTTGGGCTGTTATCTAATGCAATTGTAGAACTAGCAAAAAAGATGGGGCCGTGATGCTGTTACGAGGTACGATCTTCCTTTTATCATTCAAAATATCGTCCACAGGTTGGTGGACACGGGGCGGTGTCTCACCTTTACTTGTTCCCTATTATAAACATTTTCTGAATGCATACTGTGCACTATTGTGCTATCTGAAATTTTTTATATTTTTTTCAACCATCTGTGGTTACCACCAGTTCGGTAGGTGACCTTACACCCGTGAAAAAGTTCTTTGTCCAGGTATTGAGTGACAGGCTAGCCAGACATTTATGTTAGCATTTTTTCTCAGTTGTGGTTATAAGCCAGTCCAAAGCTAGTCAACATGTACAATTTACCCTGTAAAATTTCACCGAATTACCTTACTGTTGTGGTCAGTAACTATGGTGAAATACACTATTTAATGCCTATTTGGCTTTGTCTTTGGAGCATTTGAATCAGGTTACATAGGTGGTTACTGTCACTTATTTTACTCTTTATATCTTTATAAGGTCCATAAAGGTGTTACTTCAAGTAGTATTTTTTATGATATTTTATTAAACATGAAACTAATTTTAAATTATGATGATATGATTTGAATAATATTTGAAGTCTATACTTTGCACCTGAGGTCTTTACTATCATGATCCCAGACATGCATGTTTGAATGACATAAATACACTAACCTGATAATCGATGGCGCTGTTTAATCAGTCTTTAGTAATTATTTAATATATGATTTTAGATCGTTTTACCATCATGTTCTCTATAATTTGAGCAATGTCTATCATGTCATCTTCTGAAACGTCTATACCTGGGTAGGCAAATAAAATGTCTATTTCATTTATATTGTCTTGTGCATGTTTATATTTATGTGTTATCAGCCTTAATTTGGCGTGCTCTTCATGCCATTTCATGCATGTCATGTGCATGTCAATGAAAATGGTTGACTGACTCAACTTCATACAAATCACAACATATACATATACTATTTATACCATTGTTTTTTATACGGAGGTCGTGGCAATCCAGGGAAAGTCACATCATTGTTTTACATATTTTAAGGCATTCTGGTTTTATTTTACAGAGAATCCACCACACACTTGGCTTAAGAGGTCCTAGAGATGCATTATTAATGTCACATATATTTACACATAACTCATGCCGTTTATATATATGATGTTGAAGTCATTTCTTTGCTTCGTTCCGATGATGTTCTTTATTTTCTTTTTCCATGCCAGTTTCGTGGGGAATGTTAATGTTCTTATCATTTCCATCACAATATCTACAAGATTATATTTAGTTACGCAATCCCACATTCTAGATATGGGTGAGTCCCAGGAGTCTCCTTGGAAAAAAAAGCTCGTTAGTCTCATCATTAAAAGTTGTTTATATATATTTGTCATTGGTAGTGTTAGAATCCCAAAGAACATTAACAGCTTATCGTAGTCTATTCTCGACTTAATTGTTGTCAGTCCAACTGGCATAATTGATGTTGGATTGCTAGCGGTGCTGGGAAAAAATTGGACCCTACGTCCGATCTCTCGTTGGGTAACTTCCATCATTTCCAAATCCTGTGTATTGTAATTAATGATCTGATCACCGTATAACATGGTAGGTATTACAAAGCTGTTGTATAGTTTTATGGCTAGAAGGGGTGGTAATCCTCCCGATTTATGTCCAAGTCCGAAGAGTGAAAACAACTTTCTCTTCCCCCTTGATATCCCCTGTTTGACATGTTCAGTGAACTTATTGTTTGTAGACAATGGGATGCCTACATGTTTGGCAGTGGATACATTATTTACAATATCATTTCCCAGTCTAAATTCAAAATTTCTTTTAGAGCCATATGTTAATGCCACACATTTTCCTGGATGAAGGATATACCTCCATTTATTACTATGCTTGAAGGATATGTCCAATAACGTATTCATAGCGCCTGGAAACAATGCTATCAATGCTATGTCATCCGCATATGCAGGGGAACAGGTATTGATTCCCATGATTTTTGCACCAATGTTACTTTTTTCAAGTTCCATGAGTAGGTCACATATATAGAATTGGTAGAGGAGCATGCTATTAACAGCCCCTTGAAAAACGCCCTGGAGGACTTTAAAGGGCCTTGACATTGTTCCTGCTGCCTGCACGGTGCAGTAGTAGTTCTGGTACGAGTCGTAGAGAAGTCTCCATAGCTTTCCCTTGATCCTAGCGTTGACATATCATTTGTGAAATAGCCCGTTAACAACATTTACAACGTACTGTACACATTCAATATCAGAGCCTTTCTGACAATATTCAGACAATATGTTTTATTTGGTGCCAAGTTTTCAACTATGTTATTGCAAAAGGAACAAATCCGAATTGTATCTTCCCCACTCTCTGATGACATCTTGATGTTGTAAGAAGTGTGGATGTTGTAAAAAATGTCAGGTTGCAGTTGGTCTCAGTTAGGAATGAGCAGAATGAGCTGATTAGAATGCGTGATGTAAGTTATATACACTCTCTGGTATATCAAGTGTCCTAACCATATATGGCAGATGACTCGCCATACATGGCAAGGGGGGAGAGTAGGCAGGAATTAGGCACACTAGCAAGTGAGTCAGGGTTCAGAGGTCAAAACAAGACTCTACAACCCAGAATACTTGTTATCCGTAACATATGCATTGCACAGTGATTGGGTGGTTATGCAGTTTTCTTTCTTATATGGGCATTGATTGGTAGTTAAATACCCGGCCATGGCCCGAACCATTGTCACCTCAACAGTCTTATCTTCTTGAAAAAATTTAAATGAATGAAACAAAGTCATATTTACCTTCTGTACAGCAAGCCTTTGTGTACAAGAGTCTGGGTTCGTCTGAAGGGCCTCCAGTGTTGGCATAGTTAGCACTTGTTGTTTTAAGCAACACAACGCAAAGTTGTATTCTTGTTTTTATTGTTCTTACTGCTACGGGAGACAGGGCAAGACTGGCTAGTCTTATTTTACAAGGTTTTTTAGTATTTCTTAAGCTGACTAATATTAGCAGGGATATTAGTATGCATTGCATAGTGATTGGATGGTTATGTAGCAGGGGTTTCCTTATATGGGCAGAGGGTTTGCAAGGAGGTATTCTAGCACATTGATTGGAAGTTATAATAAAACAAATGGTTAGACAAGAACTGCACAAAATTTTGACTCAGCAATGGTGTAGGGATACTTTGCATTCTGCACTAATTTATGACTTGAGATGAGTTAAACTAAATCATGAATGGCAACATATAAAATCAATAATAATCCAGCAACTTAATTATAAATGCATATGACATTAGGTAACATTAGGTAATAATATTAGTTAACTAAGGCAACAAAAACAAAGGGTAATCTCCAGTGTCATCGTGTCCCAAAGGCATTTTGAGGGGGACATTCTTTCAGCCACAACCTTTGGTAAACAGGAGTCTGGTTCCGATTCTACTGATCATGGTGGTGGTCGAAAGAGGACTTAGATATGAGGTTTTCCTCATAATCATCCTCTACCACACTGGCCATGGCCCTAACCGTTGTCACCTCAACAGATAGATCCTCCATCTCAATGAAGGGATCAAAAGTAATCCCAGCGCACTCATGTTCAAAGGGCACTGTGAGGGGAACCTCTGTTCTGAAATTAACAATGTCCATTATGGAAAAGAAATAATTTAATTAGTTTTGATTTAATAGAGATTTAATTAATATGACATTAATATTAGCACAAAGCGCGGAAGCTACCAGGCACCAGGTCCCCAAGAAGCCAAAGAGGTATTGACCTCTCCATTTTGCTTCCCTGAGGTGGTCCTCTATACTGTGGATCCTTTACCACAGGAGACCAAGGTGGTTATTGAAAGAATACTTAGATACGAGGTTTTCCTCATAATCCTCTTCAACCACGCTGGCCATGGCCCTTACCATGGTCACCTCCACAGCTAGGTCCTCCATCACGGTGAAGGGATACCTAAGAGGTGTTTGCACCTCAGCCCTTGTGTTGTAGAAGACAAGGTAATCTCCAGTGTCGTCGTGCCCCAGAGGCTTAGTAAGGGGCACCTCCACGCGAAAATCTAAAAATTCCATTCTGGAAAAGAGATAGTCTTAACTATAGAGTATTGACATTCTGGAAAGGAAATAATTTTAATAAATTTTAATTTAATATTGATTTAATTAATATGAGTTTTGTGCAATTAAATTATGATAATGGAGACATAATACAAGACGTAAATGACACAGTGATCTGAGATGACATGATGGCCTAGACTACATGCTTAGGACAAATATTTATTTATCATTGCATCATTTCTTTAAACAGACATAAGCACAAAGCGCAATAAAATTAAAGTGCTCACCTGTTGGTTTTCATCCTCTTGCAATATTCCTCTGCCTTGAAAACTCCACTTCCAGCTCTTCTCTGAAATCATATTAAAGGAATAAGATACAGATTGCTCAAAAGTTAACATTAACCATTCTCTAAATATATAAAAAATGAAGATAATCCTATATAACATATTTTTACAGAAATTGACAGAATACGATCATTAAAAAATCTCTATATTTATTAGCGGTTGATATAATACTTACATATTATAGGGCGGCACTACGGACTTCAATAATACCCCATCCACATCCTCTTTAACCGTCGGTGGGTGGACCAAGTACCCATTAATAATAATAATAAGTCCCCCTTCTATTTCTTGGATAATGTAGAACTCCTCCCCCCAGTTTTCCATGTTTGTGTTGTTAACAGAAGCTCCCAGGCACCAGGTCCCAAAGAAACCAAAGAGGTTTTGACCTCTCTGTTTGGCTTCCCTGAGACGGTCCTCTATACTGTGGATCTTTTCCCACAGTAGACCATGGTGGTGATTGAAAGAAGACTTAGATATGAGGTTTTCCTCATAATCCCCCTCTACCACACAGGCCATGGCCCTTACCATGGTCACCTCTGTCCTAAAAATATGGAATTACATTCTGCAAAAGAAATAATGTTATTCATTGATGGTAGAGAGACAGCTTTTGGGGGGGGGGGTGAGAGGTATATAAATGTTTAGTCAATATAGCAATTTCCCAAATACTTACATTAATGTTAGCCTGACCCTTGTTTTGCAGTCCTTAGTGCCCTTCCATAAAAAAAATGTCTAAAACTTCTGCATTCGCGTTTGACTAGTTCTATTCTATCTTGACTGTTTATGTAAAATTTTAATACTTCTATTTCCCAATTTGGTAGTTTTAATCCTAATCCAATTCCAGAAATGCATTTGTGTATGTTGATTCATTCATGATTTTGTAAATGATGTATCCTGATGCATAATTCTGGGTGTTATACAATTATATCATATGAAATATACAACATACGGTCTCCAGGTTTTTTAGACAAATCTCCATGTAGCAGCCAATTTCTTGTCTATATCTTATATACCGAATACATTATTGCTAGCCGCTAGCCTTCCCTCGCCGTTACAATAGTAAACACTTCCAGGCTATCATTTTTCAGCCGCAAGACATCTCTGCCTCACCAGAATGAAGGAAGGAGGGAGGGGAGGATAAATCTCAATCTGAAAAAATAAACATTAACATTAGCACATACGACGAATATTTATGTTTGTATAAACATTTTCAATGTGTATCTGAAGTTTAATTTACTGAAAGCTTACTCTAAAAAGCAAATGGTGATTTGATTATATTTGATTTCCAATATGAATTATACAACATGGGTCAACCACCTGTAGCAAAGTCAAAACGTCCCGTACCGGCCAGAAGTTGTCTTCCCAGTTTTCCATGATTTAGCTCGGGTTATGATAATTTTATTTTTCCACTCGTTTTTATACCCTCCTTCATTGATTACAGTGAACGTCTAGATCAATGCTAATTCAATGACGTAAGGCATCCATTGGCATAAAAAATGAAGTTGTAACATATACTCTGGGAACATATTTCTTAATATAAAATACTTTTTTCTTTTTAATAATGCCTATGATGGCCATGATTAAATATATAGGTAAATAATATTACAATCAAAAAGTGTGAGATACAAGCAATTGTTAACTCATAAACAACAACAATGTGTTTTCGACAAAGTTAAACAATCCCTCACTTAAAAAAATATTACAATCAAAATGTGTAAGATATAAACATAATAATATATAATATATAACATATAATATATAATATAATAACAACAATAATATGTTTTCAATATATAAAGTTAAGTAATCCCACACTCATATAATATTGCAATTGTTGGCTCATAAGCAACAATAAGCTTATTGACAGAGTTAATTAAATATATATGGGAGTAGTAATCCAGAGTGTCTGTTTCACCACCTTGATATGGATTATCATATCGATTTGGATATCAAGGTGGTGAAACAGACACTCTAGTTTCAGTGCAATTCATATTGCATATCTTTTAAATATTATATGTGAGTAGTAATCCAGAGTGTCTGTTTCACCACCTTGAGATGGATTGGTGAAACAGACACTCTAGTTATAGCCTCTTTCAGTGTAATTCATATTACATATCTTTTAAATATTATATGTGTAATAAAATAAGAGAAAGCCGCCAATTTGACTTATTTTAATGTTATTTTTCCCCATGATACGGAGTATTGATATATATCCGTTTCTCCATTATTACTATTGTGATATAGAAAATTGCAATAGAAAACATTTACTTCTCTTCTTATTGATAGATGGCGTAATAATTGTATTTATACCATAAAACCAAATAACATATTGGATATTTTTCAGCAGATATCGAGGCAAATTCTCCATTTCAAAAAACATTTAGTCTATCGATAGGAGGAGAGTCGAATATTGTTTATGATATATATCGAGGTAGAGAACGGATGATATCAGTAGGTCCATGCACTAAGTCACCCATTAATGCTAGCCTCAATAAAGCTAATGTAGCATATGAAGCCTATGATATATAATAATATAACCACAGTTGCAAATTGTACTTTCTTGTAATGCGATCTCCCTCTAATTACCGTATCAGCCTTCTGATTGTTGGGTTGACTTCAACAAGTATACAGCGGGAAATTCAAAAATGCCCAAGGTTTTAAAGGATCTCTTAAGAGTTTAGGCTAGACTCCTGTTTTTTCCCAAACAAATTACATTATTTACATAATGTTTATATATATAAAACTAAAGCGCCTACCTGTTGATTTTCTAGCTACCCCTCGCTGTATTCCTTTCCCTCCCAGTGCCCTCTTCTTCAACTTGTTCGCTATAATCATATTAAATGAACAAGTTAACAATAACCATTCTCTAAAAATATAAAAAATGATAATCCTATATTTATTAGTCAATCGTATAATCGCTACTTACATATGTTGGTGTGGTAAGGGATAAGGTGGGAAATACGCCTGTTGTAAGACGCCTAGTACGTCCTCAACCACTTCAGGAGGGTGAAGTTCATGCCCATCTATGAGAATGGCTCCATCCGGCTTTTGCTCAATGAGAAAAAAAATCTTCCTCCCAATCCTCCATGATGTTTGCCTTATATCATATTCTCATTTGCCTGTTTTTGTACCATCTCACGGAAGCCCTAGATTTATGCTAATTCGATGATGTAAGTAAAGAATACCATTGGTCAGAGTTAAAAACATCTATACAGTATATAAACTGGGAAAAGTCTAAAGTTTTGTTATAATGCATCAAGACTTTATCAAGACTATTTTTAAAAAGCAGCTGAGCAATCATTTAATTTAATCGTTTTAATTTAAAAACTCTGACCGTGACACTTTGCGATCTAAAATATCAAAGTATATGCAATTATTCTAAAATCCTGGGGAAGCAAATACTTGATGACGCCCCCTCTTCTCCCACTTTGACGATACCGTATGGTGCGGCTGATTCACCTAAAATAACGGAGCCGGATGAGGCTACATCTGACGTCCGGCTCCAGAGGGAGGATCAGGAATCGTCGCCTTGGCTGGCGTGCTCGCCCAAGCAGTATTGGATGCGGCAATTTTCTCTGGAAAATCGCTCTCCAATACCGTCTTGTGAGAGTACGCCTACATTGGCCCGGGGGAGCGCTGGCGGGGCGAGAGCTATAGCAATTCGTAGAGTTCCAGTAGAGTTCGTAGTTCCAGTTGAAATCTGGGCTCACGAATTGCATAAAAAGCTCGGGCTATCTAATAAAAACATCATATTTAAAAGATATGTAATATGAATTACACTGAAAGAGGCTATAACTAGAGTGTCTGTTTCACCAATCCATATCAAGGTTCCATATCAAGGTGGTGAAACAGACACTCTGGATTACTACTCACATATAATATTTAAAAGATATGCAATATGAATTGCACTGAAACTAGCTTGGTGAATTTTTCTCAGATGCTGCCTCCAGGGCCCCCCAGGAAATCCGGTTATCTCTCTCCTAGTAGTAGTTAAAGTGAGCCTGTATAACCTTTTGTGTTCTACAAAAAACATTTTATATTCTACAGATGAGGGAAATGCAACTTAGGTCCATGCACTAAGTCAGCCATTATTGCTAGCCGCAATAAAGCCAATGCCGCATATGAAGCCTATGATATATAATAATAAAACTTCACAAGAAAAATTGTACTTTCTTGTAATGCTATCTCCCTCTTATTACCGTATCAGCCTTCTGATTGGTCGGTTGACTTCAACAAGTATACAGCGGGAAATTCAAAAATGTCCAAGGTTTAAACGATCTCTTAAGAGTTTAGGCTAGACTCCGGAATTGTTCCCAAACAAATTACATTATTTACATAATGTTTATATATATAAAACTAAAGCGCCTACCTGTTGATTTTCTAGCTACCCCTCGCTGTATTCCTTTCCCTCCCAGTGCCCTCTTCTTCAACTTGTTCGCTATAATCATATTAAATGAACAAGTTAACAATAACCATTCTCTAAAAATATAAAAAATGATAATCCTATATTTATTAGTCAATCGTATAATCGCTACTTACATATGTTGGTGTGGTAAGGGATAAGGTGGGAAATACGCCTGTTGTAAGACGCCTAGTACGTCCTCAACCACTTCAGGAGGGTGAAGTTCATGCCCATCTATGAGAATGGCTCCATCCGGCTTTTGCTCAATGAGAAAAAAATCTTCCTCCCAATCCTCCATGATGTTTGCCTTATATCATATTCTCATTCTCTCGCCATATTCCTATCCCTCCCAGAGCTGTCTTCTTCATCTTGTTCACTGAAATCATATTAAATGAACAAGTTATCAATAACCATTCTCTAAAAATATAAAAAAAATGATAATCCTATATTTATTAGTCAATCATATAATCACTACTTACATATGCTGATGCGGTAGGGGATAGGGGGGGTAGTAAATTAAAACGATTCCTCAGTCTTTGGCTAGCCGCCACTCTCGTCCGCAAATTATAGCTGGATGAGAATGGAAGCTTGTCGGTAGCGTAAGGCATTTTGTAAAATTAAGATCAAAATGATTTCCGGAGAAGCGAGTCTGTTCTTTTAAATTCGTAAGAGAGAAAAAGTCCTTTTTTGGTAATCCACCAGGCGGAATTTGAAATAATCCCTGAGAGTACTAGTAGAATTATTCCTGATTTTAAAACTATGTTGATTGCTTATCAGTTGCTTTTTAAAAAAAGTGTTCCTCACTTTGTCAAGTCTTGGTGCATTAGAACAAAACTTTAGACTTTTTCCCAGATAATATATAGATGTTTTTACTCTGAAGAAAAAATAATTAATTGATCTGACTAAATGAAACTAAAAAGGAGAACTAGAAAATTTGTTTTAATTTTTGTGTTAGGCTCTGATGGCCTGTTCCTTTTCATCGGGCTCCTCTATCAGTTCCCAGTGGAATGACGTAGGGCATGAATTGGCATAAAAAATGAAGTTGTAACATATACTCTGGGAACATATTTCTTAATATAAAGTACTTCTTTTTCTTTTTAATAATTTCTATGATGGCCATGTTTTTGTAGAACACTTCCTTGGCTTTTTATTAGCGGGAGCATTGATGTTTTTATTAGCTAGCCGGAGCTTTTTATGCAATTCACGAGCCCAGATTTCAACTGGAACTCTATGAATTGCTCTTGAGCCAGCGCTTCCCCGGGCCAATGTAGTAGGTGTACTCTCACAAGACAGCGTTGGAGAACGATTTTCCAGGAAAAATTGCCGCATCCAATACTGTTTGGGCGAGCACACCAGCCAAGGTGACGGTTCCTGATCCCCCCTCTGGAGCTGGACGTCAGATGTACCCTCATCCAACTCCATTATTTTGGGTGAATCCTGAGCGTATGGTATCGTCGAAGCGGGAGATATGGGGGCATCATCAAGTATTTGCTTCCCCAGGATTTTGGAATAATTGCATATACTTTCATATTTTAGGTCACAAAGTGTCACGGTCAGAGTTTTTAAATTAAAACGGTTCGTCAGTCTTTGGCTAGCCGCCACTCTCGTCTGCAAATTATAGCTGGATGAGAATGGAAGCTTGTCGGTAGCGTAAGGCATTTTGTAAAATTAAGATCAAAATGATTTCCGAAGAAGCGAGTCTGTTCTTTTAAATTCGTAAGAGAGAAAAAGTCCTTTTTTGGGTAATCCACCAGGCGGAATTTGAAATAATCCCTGAGAGTACTAGTTGAATTATTCCTGATTTTGAAACTATGGTGATTGCTTATCAGTTGCTTTTTAAAAAAGTGTTCCTCACTTTGTCAAGTCTTGGTGCATTAGAACAAAACTTTAGACTTTTTCCCAGAGAATATATAGATGTTTTTACTCTGACGAAAAAATAATTAATTGATCTGACTAAATAAAACTAAAAAGGAGAACTAGAAAATTTGTTTTAATTTTTGTGATAGGCTCTGATGGCCCGTTCCTCTTCATCGGGCTCCTCTATCAGTTCCCAGTGGAATGACGTAGGGCATGAATTGGCATAAAAATGAAGTTGTAACATATACTCTGGGAACATATTTCTTAATATAAAGTACTTCTTTTTTTTATAATAATTTCTATGATGGCCATGATTAAATATATAGGTGAATACTATTACAATCAAAATGTGTAAGATATAAACAATTCTGAACAACAATAATATGTTTTCAATATATAAAGTTAAGCAATCCCACACTCATTTAATATTGCAATCAAATGTGCAATTGTCTGCTCATAAGCAACAATAAGCTTATTGACAGAGTTAATTAAATATATATGAGAATAATTTATTTTTATTTTTATATTATTCCCATATTTTATATGGGAACAATATTTCAGTCTAAATGGATAAGATAACCAATAATATGTTTTCGGTTATATTGTAATACTTATAAACAATCCTCCACTTATATAATATTACGTCTCCTCGATTGCGGCTTTTATTGGCTACCCTAGACTTTTTAAGTCTATTATATAATTCACGGGCCCAGATTTGAGCCGGAACTCTATGAAGACTGCTTGCTCACACCAAAGAATTTTTCTCCTTCGAAATTTGTATGAGAAGAGTCCTTTTGGTAATCCACCAAGCGGAATTTGAAATAATCCCTGAAAAAACTAGTTGAAATATTCTTGATTTTTTTAAAAACTGAGATATGTTTCCTTTTTAAAAGTCCTCAACATTAGAACAAAACTTTAGACTTTTTCCAAGATAATATATAGACGTTTTTACTATGATGAAAAACTAATTAATTGATTTGATCAAATGAAACTAAAAAGGAGAACTAAAAAATGTGACTTATTTTCTACATCTCCTATTTTTACGTCTCCTCGACTTTTTATTAGTGGGAGCATTGCAGCTTTCATTGGCTCCGCTAGACTTTTTAAGGGTGTCATATAATTCCTGGGCCCAGATTTGAGCTGGAACTCGGAATATTCGACAAACTTGACAAGTCAACTCCATCGGAAACATTCAAATCCACTTTTTTTTTTTGAGTAAAAAACGAGTAATTTTTTGGAGGGAGTTGAGGTGAATGTTTCAGGACATTTCTACTTACAATAGTGTATTACTAAGGTGAGTGATAGGCGCTTTGTAAAACATAGAGCGCCATCTCTTAGAATGTTGGACAGATGGGACATTTCAAATTTTTGAATTTTAAATCTGAACTCTTCTTTTTGTTTCTTTTTTCCAAATATTTGTATATGTAATTTAAATCCGAAATGAATTTCATAGAACACAGAAGTAGTAGAAATAGTTGCTCCCTGGACTCTCTGACTTGAATTAAATGATTTGCTTCAAAAGCAACAACTCTGTTGATAACTAACTCCAGGGCAGCAGTGAGTCTCTCTCTGGCTAGTGAGGAAGTCTTCTTGCAGCCCTTGGTTATTGTTATATGCTCTGATGGCCCGTTCTTCATCACCAGGCTCCTCCATAATTTGCCAGTAAACCACAGCAGGCTGGGGGGATGGGCCTCACCTCCACAACTGACCTTTCCTAGGCAGCAACAGGCGATGATCCTCCACATCAATGCCCTCATCACTGTTCTCTGAAAATGACCTCTGTTTGGTAAGCAGGAGATCCTAAGTTCATCCCAGAAGGGCCTCCAGTGTTGGCTTGTTCAGCTTTGGTTGGTTTCAACTAAACACGACGCCAAGTAGTATACTCTTTATTGTATTTTATTCTGTTTGTTCCTCCAGGAGACAGGGCCAGCCTGACTAGTCTTATTTTACAAGGATTTTAGCATGACTAATGGTAATGTAACACTGTCTGGTACAACTGTTGTCAGTTGTTCACTACTTGTATTTTCATCTAACACGACGCAAGGTTGTTCTTTAGTTTTCTTTATTGTAACTCACGCTTCAAGAAACCAGGACCAGACTGACTAAACTTAATTCACCTGGATACAAGCATGACCAAAGCTGTCTAATCTTAGCAGGGATATTAGTATTCATTGCCTAGTGATTGGATTGTTATGCAGCAGAGGTTTCCTTATATGGGCAGAGGGTTTGCAAGGTTGTATTCTAGCACATTGATTGGAAGTTATTGTTGTGCGTTTCGGCTTGTGTTTGCGCAGGTTTATATATCCAGATATTGAAATAGAGTTTCTAACACAATCAAAGAGAACCAACAGGAGATGTTCATACGATGATAGAAGTGGAGTGACTCTCTGATTAGAATGCGTGATGTCAGTTATATACCCTCTCTGATATATCAAGTGTCTTAGCCATATATGGCAAATGACTCACCATATATGGCAAGGGAAGAGAGTAGAAAGTTAGGCATACCAGCAAGTGAGTCAGGGTTCAGAGGTCAAGCTGATGATATCACATTAACACTCCAAACCCCACAACCAGATACCGTAACACTACCCCTGGCTTGGCCCCAAATGTTACGCTTAGTGCTTGTCGTTGTATGATGGTGCTTTCTCTCTTGTCTAGGGCTATGATAATGTAACTAAAATAGTTTGATGTAAATTCCTTTATTATTCATAATAAGCCTACTCTAAGAAGCATCTAATTCAAAGCCTTGAATCTCCTAACTGCAACCCAAGATCAGTAAATGTTAGCTAGAGATGTTGCCTCTTGAGTTACAGCTAGTAGACTGAAGAATCTATTTAAAAACAAGTAATATGCATAACATTATAATGAAACAAATGGTTAGACAAGGGTTGCACAATATTCTGACTCAGCCATGACGTAGGTATACTATGCATTCTGCACTAATATGACTTCAGATGTGTTAAACTTAATCACAAATGATAACTTATAAACTCCATAATAATCCAGCAACTTTATTGTAAAAGCATATGACATTAGGTAACATAAGGTTATATTATCAGGTAACTAAGGCAACAATGAATGTTCAACCAGACTTTTCTGATTGATTAAACCAAATATTTGCACTTTGTTTCATTTTGTAGTTACTTTTATATTTCATTAATGTTTAATGGTGATTTTAATGACTGAGCTTTGTGTACAAATGTAAAAGCTTAAAGACCATAAATGTCAGACTTTTCCACTTGATTAAACCAAATATTTGCACTTTGTTTCTTTTTGTAGTTACTTTTTGATTCCATTAATGTTTAATGGTGATTTTAATGACCGAGCTTTGTGTACAAATGTAAAAGCTCAAAAACCATAAATGTCAGACTTTTCCACTTGATTAAACCAAATATTTGCACTTTGTTTCTTTTTGAAGTAACTTTTATATTCCATAATGTTTAATGGTGAATTTCATGACTGAGCTTTGTGTACAAATGTAAAAGCTCAAAGACCATAAATGTCAGACTTTTCCACTTGATTAAACCAAATATTTGCACTTTGTTTCTTTTTAAGTTACATTTAGATTCCATTTATTTTTAATGGTGATTTTAATGAATGAGCTTCATGTGCAAATGTAAAAACTCAAAGACAATGAATGCCAGACTTGTCCCCTGATTAAACCAAATATTTGCACTTTGTTTCTTTTTGTAGTTACTTTTATATTCCATAATGTTTAATGGTGAATTTGATGACTGAGCTTTGTGTACAAATGTAAAAGCTCAAAGACCATAAATGTTAGACTTTTCAAATTGATTAAACCAAATATTTGCACTTTGTTTCTTTTTAAGTTACATTTAGATTCCATTTATTTTTAATGGTGATTTTAATGAATGAGCTTCATGTGCAAATGTAAAAACTCAAAGACAATGAATGCCAGACTTGTCCCCTGATTAAACTAACTCTCAATTTGCACATATGTATAATGATGATTTAATGACCGAGCTCTGTTTACCCATGTAAAATTGATTAAACCAAATATTTGCACTTTGTTTCTTTTTAAGTTACATTTAGATTCCATTTATTTTTAATGATGATTTTAATGACCGAGCTTTGTGTGCAAATGTAAAAGCTCAAAGACAATGAATGCCAGACTTGTCCCCTGGTTAAACCAAATATTTGCACTTTGCTTCCCTTTTCATTGACTCTCAATTAGCACTTTTGTATAATGATGATTCAATGACTGAGCTCCATTTACACATGTAAAATTGATTAAACCAAATATTTGCACTTTGTTTCATTTTTCATTAACTCTCAATTTGCACTTATGTATAATGATGATTTAATGACTGAGCTCCATTTACACATGTAAAATTGATTAAACCAAATATTTGCACTTTGTTTCATTTTTCATTAACTCTCAATTTGCACTTATGTATAATGATGATTTAATGACTGAGCTCCATTTACACATGTAAAATTGATTAAACCAAATATTTGCACTTTGTTTCATTTTTCATTAACTCTCAATTTGCACATATGTATAATGATGATTTAATGACTGAGCTCCATTTACACCCCCAAAATGCAATCTGATTTTCGACGCCGTTTCGGTGCCAAATTTCGGTGCCGTTTCGGCACCAAATGGACTGACTAGTCCGGTAGCAAATTTTGGTGTCGAAAGGTTTCGGTGCCGGAACGGTGTCGAAACGGTGCCGGAACGGTGCCGAATTTGTTCGATGCCGAAACGGTGTCGAATTATATTGGCTGTGTACACATGTAAAATTGATTAAACCAAATATTTGCACTTTGCTTCCTTTTTCATTGACTCTCAATTTGCACTTATGTATAATGATGATTTAATGACTGAGCTCCATTTACACATGTAAAATTGATTAAACCAAATATTTGCACTTTGTTTCATTTTTCATTAACTCTCAATTTGCACATATGTATAATGATGATTTAATGACTGAGCTCCATTTACACATGTAAAATTGATTAAACCAAATATTTGCACTTTGTTTTTGCCGTGAATATAAGAATATTAAATATGTTCATATACTATTCTGAATGTTGAGGTCCAACAGAAGTGGCTTTGGAAAGTAAA